ACTGAAAAGTGATCCCTGTTAAATATTAGAGTAGGAATAAGAGAGGGAAGAGAGTTAAATATTAGAGTAGGAATAAGAGAGGGAAGAGATGTACAATTTGGGACATGCTCAATTGGACTTGCCCCAAAAGGTAGAGTTAGAAATGTGCCAGGGGATTCCAATTCAATCCCATCAAGGTGGCATGTACCAATGCCATCTCACTAGTCCAAGTAATCAATTTCTGTTCACAATTGATCATAATGATAGGACTAAGAGTCAAAGGGATCACATAAACAAGCCTAGTGTCTGCTAATACTAACTGATAGAATTAAAAACGAGAGAACGATCCAACATGGGAAGTGGGATACACAGCAGACTCATAGAATGGCAGATGTCCTAAACAGCACTCTGGCCTCAGAATCAGCCCTTAAGGCATTCGGATCTTGCTGAAAAGCCCTTGAGAGTATTTCAGGCATGGAAAGCCAAGACACTGTGGCAAAAAAAAAATGAAATGACCTAAATGAAAAATCTCTGTGAGTGAGATCCCAGTGCAAAGAACAGGTCATCAAAGGAGGAGATACCTTTCTCTGGAGGGAGGAGAGAACTTCCACTTTGACTATGACCTTGTCTAAATAAGATCAGAGTCCGCGAACTCAAAAGGCCTCCATAGCCTTGACAACTCATGACAAGAATCTAGGGTGATTACTGATGCCATAAACAAGAGTGTCAAAATTGTTAAGTCAACAATAGGAGTCACTGTGCACTTACTCCTCATGTAGGATCTCTGTCCTTAATGTGCTGTACATTGTGATTTAATGTTACAACGAGAACTCAAACAGTATTTTTCACTTTGTGTTTCTGTGTGGGTGCAAACTGTTGAAAGCTTTACTTAATATATGCTAACTTGACCTTCTGTATGTAAAGATAGTTGAAAATGAATCTTGATGTGAATGGAAGGGGAGAGGGAGTGGGATAGGGGAGGGTTGCAGGTGGGAGGGAAGTTATGGGGGGGGGCCATTGTACTCCATAAGCTGTACTTTGGAAAGTTATATTCATTAAATAAAATTTAAAAAAAAAACGTGAAAAACATGATCATCTTGTAGAAAATCTTAAAATTCTGGCAAAAAAAAAAAACTCCTGGAATTAATGAGTGATTATACTAAAGTTGCAAGATACAAGATTAACATGAAAAATCAGTTATTTTCCAATATGCTAGCAAGGAACAAGTGGAGTTTGACATTAAAAACACAATACCATTTATATTAACACACAAAAAATGAAAGTTGTGTATAAATGTAACAGAATATGTATAAGACCTAAATTAGGAAAACTACAAACTCTAATGAAAGAAATCAAAGAACTACACTGAGAAATATTCCATATTCATGGGTAGAAAAATTCGATATTGTCAAGATATCACTTCATCTCAACTTAGTCTACAGATTCAATACAAATCCCAATCAAGCCAAAACAAATTACTTTGTGTATATTAACAAAATGATTATAAAGTTTTTGTGGAGAAACACAAGACCCAGAATAAATAACACAATATTACAGGAAAAAAAAAACATAGTTGGAGGATGGGGACTGACTTCTAGACTTACTATAAAGCTACAATAATCAAGAAAGCAGCAATATTAACAAAAGGACATGAATCTAGATTCATAGAACAAAATAGGAATTCCAGAAATAGACCCATGTGAATACACTCAACTGGTCATTTATAAAGGAATCAAAATAATACAGTTGGGGAAAGAGTAATCCTTTTTTTAAAAGATTTATTTTTTAATTTATTTGAAAGAGTTACAGAGAGAGGTAAAGACAGAGAGGTCTTCCATATACTGGTTCACTCCCCAAAAGCCGCAACAGCCAGAGCTGAGCCATTCCAAAGACAGGCGCTACTTCCAGGTCTCCAACGTGGGTGCAGGGGCCCAAGGACTTGGGCCATCCTCTGCTGCTTTTCCAGGTGCATTAGCAGGAATCTGGATCAGAAGTGGAGTATTAGGGGGCCACCGCTTGCAGTGCCAGCATCCCATATGGCAGCTGGTTCAAGTCCCAGCTGCTTCACTTCTGATCCAGCTCTTTGCTATGCCCTGGGAAAGCAGAAGATGGCCCAAGTCTTTGGGCCCCTGCACCCACCTGGGAGACCAGAAAGAAGCTCCTGCATCCCAGCTTCGGATCAGCACAGCTCTGGCTGTTGCAGCCAATTGCAGAGTAAACCAGAGGATGGAAGATCTCTCTCTCTCTCTTTCTGCCTCGCCTCCTTTCTCTGTGTAACTCTTACTTTCAAATTAATAAACTTAAAAAAAAAAAAAGAAGAAGAAGATAAAGAAGAAAAAGAACTGCAGTATTAGGGACTCAAACCAGGGCCCATATGGGATGCCAGAGCTGCAAGCTGGGGCTTTAACCCACTTAACCATAGAGCTGCCTCCAAGGGTAATTTTTTTTTTTTTTTTTTTTTTTTTTGGACAGGCAGAGTGGACAGTGAGAGAGACAGAGAGAAAGGTCTTCCTTTTGCCGTTGGTTCACCCTCCAATGGCTGCTACGGCCAGCGCGTTGCTGCCGGCGCGCTGCGCTGATCCGAAGCCAGGAGCCAGGTGCTTCTCCTGGTTTCCCATGGAGTGCAGGGCCCAAGCACTTGGGCCATCCTCCACTGCACTCCTGGGCCACAGCAGAGAGCTGGCCTGGAAGAGGAGCAACCGGGACAGAATCCGGCGCCCCAACCAGGACTAGAACCCGGTGTGCCGGCGCCGCAAGGTGGAGGATTAGCCTATTGAGCCGCAGCACCGGCCCCAAGGGTAATCTTTTAAATAAATGGTGTCGGAATAACTGGACTTCTACATGCAAAAATCAAATTTATACCCAGACCTTACACTTTTCACGAAAATTAACTCAAAACCAGCCAAACACAAAACATCTGTAAGAAAACAGAAAATATTTTTAATACAACAGCAAAGGTACAATTCATGAAAAAAAAACTGAAAAGCTGGACTTAGTTAAAAATAAAAATTTTTTTAAAAATAAAAATTTCTTTGCACAAAAGACATGGCCACCACAATGGGAAAACAAGACACAGACAAGTAGAAAATTGCTGCAAAAGGTATATATGATAAATGACTGCTATCCAAAACACAAAAAAGAACTTTTTTTTAAAGATTAATTTTATTTATTTGAAAGACAGAGTTAAAGAGAGAGAGGTCTTCCATCTGCTGGTTCAGGCCAGGACTTTAACCCACTGCGCCACAGCACCAGCCCACAAGAAAGAACTCTTAAAACTCACAGAGGGGCTGGTGCTGTGGCATACTGGGTAAAGCTGCCACCTGCAGTGCCAGCATCCCATATGGGTGCCAGTCCAAGTCCCGGCTGCTCCACTTCCCATCCAGCTCTCTGCTATGGCCTGGGAAAGCAGCAGATATGCCCAAAGTCTTTGGGCCCCTGCACCTGTGTGGGAGACCCGGAAGAAGTTCCTGGCTCCTGGCTTCAGATCAGCACAGCTCTACTGTGGCCAGTTGGGGAGTGAAGCAGCATATGGAGGATCTCTCTCTGTCTCCGTGTAACTTTGAATTTCAAACAAATACATAAATATTTAAACAAAAAACTCACAGAAACAAATTATTCAATTTTTAAAATACAAAATGCCAGAGCCAGTATTAAAAGGTAAAGCCACCACCTGCGATGCCAGCACCTCAGCTAGGTAACAGTTCATGTCCTGGGTGTTCTACTAACGCACCTGGGAAAGCAGTGGATGATGGCTGAAGTACGTGGGCCCCTGCCACCAACATGGGAGCCCAGGATGGTGTTCCCAGTTCCTGGCTGCGGCCTGGCCCAGCCCTGCCATTGCAGTCCTTTGTAAACCAGTAGATAGAAACTCCCTCTCAGAGACTTCCTCTCAGAAGGACAGAGGAGGGGGTTGTTCTATCTTTCAAATAAATAAACAAATCTTTTTTGTAAAGCAACAAGTTTAATAAAACTTACATGTGGAACTTTCAAGTTGTAACATCTGGAGTTCAAGAGAGAATTCAGGCAAGGTTTTGGAAATCTGGGAGAGTATTTCAAGGCCTGCAACACTCAGTGCATGATTTTTAATACACAGAAAAGAACTACAAAAGAGGAGTGCTACCACAACTAACCTCAAATGTGACAGAGCTTAACCTTTTAGCTAAGATTCAGTAGCAGATTTGTGTAGGGGAAAGGGAAAAGTTCTGTTGAAAATATTAATTGCTACATTTAACCTTATTCTCCCAATATTTTTTTAAGATTTATTTATTTACTTGAGTGGTAGTTAGAGAGAGGAAGAGTCAGAGAGGGTGGTCTTCCATTCACTGGTTCATTCCCCAAATGGCTATTCAATCTTTTAATAACAATAATCACAAGAATTCCTACAAATCATTCTGGATACATGAGTGACAGTACAGTTTCTTAACAGATTTTGTAACCCAAACTTAAATAAAAATATGTTCATGTGACATCGACCCTACTCAATTGGTAACTGAGAAAGACGAGTAAGATATGCTTTTTGAATAGTTATTTATACTATTTCTGAAACAGTATGTTTATTTTTAATAATTATATATTTTATCATGTGAAAAGTTTAATGGATTTCAACACAAATTTACATCTGTTCATTTACACACAGTTTTATAATAAACTTTATTTTATAATTTCTAAAATTTATATTTGCTTTTAATTAGCTATAAATCTGGTTCACACAAAAGAAAAGACTTTTGAAATTTCATTCATTTATTCAAAAACCAACGCCTTCTTTTTTTAGCTCAAAAATATTTTTTCATTTTTTTCAACTTTTAATTAATAAATATAAATTTCGAAAGTACAGCTTTTGGATTATAGAGGCTTTTCCCCCCATAACCTCCTGCCCACCCACAACCATCCCATCTCCCGCTCCCTCTCCCATCCATTCACATCAAGATTCATTTTCAATTGTCTTTATATACAGAAAGTCAACTTAGTATATACTAAGTAAAGATTTCAACAGACTGCACCCACAGACACACAAAGTATAAATTACTGTTTGGGTAGTAGTTTTACCATTAATTCGCATAGTACAACACATTAAGGACAGAGATCCCACATGAGGACTAAGTGCACAGTGACTCCTGTTGTTGATTTAACAATTGACACTCTTATTTATGATGTCAGTAATCACCCGAGGCTCTTGTCGTGAGTTGCCAAGGCTATGGAAGCCTCTTGAGTTCGCCAACTCCAATCTTATTTAGACAAGGCCATATTCAAAGTGGAAGTTCTCTCCTCCCTTCAGAGAAAGCTACCTCCTTCTTTGATGGCCCATTCTTTCCACTGGGATCTCACTTGCAGAGATCTTTCATTTAGGTCATTTTTTTTTGCCACAGTGTCTTGGCTTTCCAAGTCTAAAATACTTTCATGGGCTCTTCAGCCAGATCCGAATGCCTTAAGGGCTGATTCTGAGGCCAGAGTGCTGTTTAGGACATCTGCCATTCTATGAGTCTGCTGTGTATCCTGTTTCCCATGTTGGATCGTTCTCTCTGTTGCTCCCTCACTCGCGGAGGAACAACACCGGACCCTGCGCTGTTCTCTTTCCCCGGTCCTTCCTGGGTTTGCTGTCGCTCCCCCCTGCCTCTGGGGAGGGGCGGCACACCACTGGCCGGCTCTCTCAGGGGTTGCTCAGATGTTCCTCAGATGTTCCTGGTGCATGTTGTCTCTCTCCTCCTTTATAGTCCTCTTCCACCAATCCCAACTCTGCTGGCGTTCTCTCCCCACGCACTGAGTACGCTGCTCTCCTCCAATCAGGAGCAGGATCAGCTCCTGCAGCTTGTTAGTCGAATTGGTGAGGCAGCTGTGTGGAAGTTGTTTACTCTCTCTCAGCGCCATATGGTGGGAGATCAGATGCATAGAATTAGTCTTAGCAGTTCCAGTAATTTAGTCTAGTCTCGGTTGCTCCCCACACTCTCGTTTTTAATTCTATCAGTTAGTATTAGCAGACACTAGGCTTGTTTATGTGATCCCTTTGACACCTAATCCTATCATTATGATCAGTTACGAACTTAAACTGATTACTTTGACTAGTAAGATGGCATTGGTACATGTCACCTTGATGGGATTGATTTGGAATTCCCTGACACATTTCTAGCTCTACCATTAGGGGTAAGTCTGATTGAGCATGTGCCGAACTGTACATCTCCTCTCTCTCTTATTCCCACTCTTATATTTAACAGGGATCACTTTTCAGTTAAATTTAAAGGCCTAAGAATAATTGTGTGTTAATTAAATAGTTCAATGGTATTAGGTAGAACAAAAATATACTAAAGGGAATAAAATATTAAGTTGTTTCTTGACAGGACAAGGACTGATCAAGTCATTATTTCTCACAGTGTCCATTTCACTTCTACAGGTTTCCTTTTAGGCGCTCAGTTAGTTGTCACAGAGCAGGGAGAACATGTGATATTTGTCCCTTTAGGACTGTTTAGCTCCAAAATATTAAATCTATTCAAAATTATTTAATATTCACATAGTTTTCTTTGATGTACAACAATAATGACTACTAATTAGCAAATAATTGGGGTAAAAGTAAAAGTCATATATGTTGAGTTGTATAGGAATCCTTACCTAAATGTTTCTGAGATGAATGTCTTGATTTACCCCAAATTTCATCTTCCAATCCTAACTACATCTAAAACTTACCACTAACTAAATCTCAGTGAGCAAATTCAGATGTTAAAAGCCTCACATTATCAAACTTATTAGGCAATTATCTTCATTTTATTTACTCCTTAAATATCTAGACACTGAGAAACACAGAGGACAAGAATATAGGTACATATGAAAATTCAAACAGATATTTCTTTGAGAATCAATGCCGGAAAGAAAATCTCCAACATTTACTGTCAACGTAACCCATGCTGAGTATGTGAAGTATCAGCAAGCACTACCACCAAAGATTTCAATAACACACACAAACAGAACATTCCTAATGAGAGTTGACTCATCTCCATGCTTTCAGGGCCATTAGAGCAAGCACTCCTCATGATAAACTTGCCAGATCAGAAGAGAGCCCATATGGAGAGATTTCACAGTGGATATTGAAAACATTCATTTAACTGAAAATACATATGGAGTGCTTAAATGGGTTAATTTCCACGAAGAGTCAAAATTAATCTGAATTTCCTGCTCTGTGCATGAAAGAACTCTTTCTGAATCTTAAAGCTTTAACAAACAGTCTCTGCATGGCCTCCTTCATTTCTTTATTTCTAAATGTATAAATGACAGGATTCATAAAAGGAGTGATAAGGGCATCAAAAATAGCTAAAAATTTGTCTATGGGTAAGGTAGGGAATGGCCACACATACACAATAATGCAAGGTCCAAAGAAAAAAACCACAACAGTAACGTGAGCTGAGAGTGTGGAGAGGGCCTTGGAGCAACTACCTGAAGAGTGCTTACTAACCGTGACCAGGATGAAGATGTAAGACGCAATCAAGATGAAGAAGGTGCCCAAGGAGATGAAACCACTGTTGGCAGTGACCAGAAACTCCAGCCTGTATGTGTCTGTGCACGCAAGTTTGATGAACCGAGGAAAATCACAATAAAAGCTATCCATCTGGTTGCTGCCACAGAAGGGGAGGTTCACCACAAAAGCCAGTTGGGCCACAGAGTGGATGAGCCCAATGGTCCAAGCAACAGCCAAGAGAGAAGTGCACATTCTGAGGCTCATGATGGTCAGGTAGTGGAGGGGCTTACAGATAGCCACGTATCGGTCATAGGCCATGACTATCAACAGCACCATCTCTGTCCCCCCAACAGTGTGAATGAAGAACATCTGAGTGATGCACCCTTTCAAGGAGATGGCTTTGTGTTTTCTGAAAAGGTCGTAGATCATCTTTGGGGTTGCAATGCTGCAAACACCTGTATCAATGAATGAGAGATTCGCCAGCAGGAAATACATTGGGGAATGTAAGTGATGGTCTGAGATGATTGTGAGCACAATGAGAAGGTTCCCCAGCATACTTGCTATATAAAATGTTGTGAAAAACAGGAAGAGGAGAATCTGAATCTCCCAAGAACTGGTGAGTCCCAGCAACAAGAACTCAGACACCACTGAGTGATTTCCTCCATCCATCAACTTCATATGTAAGCTCACCCTGAACACAGAGAGAAAAAACAGTTTTAATTTCAAGAGTCATCCTAGCTGTAGAATGATGATTCAATGTCAAAAGCTAAAGATTACATGCCATGTCACACAGGGTTTACATGGTACAAAACTCAAAGAATCATCCCCAGAATTTTTTCCATGTCTAGACCTTTGGTATTTAATTCTGTAGTCTCAAATTTAGTTGGCTCTAGTGCACAATGAAGAAGGAAGATGTAAACAAAGGCTTGTAAGATTTTAAGAAGAGGTATATCAGAAGGTAGGAAAGACTGATATTTCCTAATTTCTACATGCAAAAATGCCACAGAAGACAAATGTAATAAAATGAAGAAGTTATCTATTTTTGTATGCTATATGTAGCCACATTTTCTGTAGCTTTTTACTGAAATGTTCTGAGTTTCTAGGTTTACCAAACTGTCATTAGCAAAAAAAAGTAACATTTTCTTTTTTAATTTTTGCTCCTTTGGAAATCCTATTCCTGAGAATTTACCAATTCAAAATGAAATCGACAGATGAAAGAATTATCTGTAGTCCCAAGTTCACCGCAGCTCAATTCACAATAGCTAAGCTATGGAATCTACCCAGATATCCATCAACTGGTAACTGGATAAAGAAATTATGGTATATTACACTATGAAATACTACTTAGTGATTTAAAAAATGAAATCCTGTCTTTTTCAACAAAATGGATGAAACTGGAAACCACTATACTTAGTGAAATAAACGTGTCCCAAAAAGACAAATATTGTATGTTTTCCCTAATTTGCGGTAACTAACAAAGTACCTAAAATGTAATGTATTGGAGTGAAATTGACATTTTGAGATTCAATGATCATTTACAGCCCTTGTCTCTACCTTTGAGGAAGAGTGTTGTTTTCTTTATACTATTTTGAACTCATTTTTAGTGTAAGATTAATCTTATGAGTATAAAGTAAACTTAAAGTAGATAATTATAAAAACTAAGAGACTAATAAGAGAGAAAGGAAACCAAAAGGGTTGAAGCGTGAGTGAGGGAAAAGGTAGGGTGATAAGTATCGCTATGAAATTTGTATACCTTAATTACATTTTTTTTAAATTGCTGCTTTGATTAAGATGGTATTCACTTCATTACTCCCTTATTAACATGGAAGTCCTACTATGCTTTTCTATTATTTCCATGGTTACCATCCCCTCTCCATTGACATATTTCTTCACTCCTATTTTACAGTAAGATAATAGCTATTTCCCCTATCAAAATGTTTTATTTCCTTCTTATTTTCTATCAATGCCAACTAAGATAAAACCTTAAGAATACTCCCGCCTTCCTTTTTAAATTAATTTAGTTCCTAATTATCCTCCTAAAAGTACTATTGGTTTTACACATTATGCCTATTGAATCTATCCTATTTGCTTTTCTTTCATGAATTATATCTCATTTGCTTTATTATTTATTTATTATACCTGCTTTCAAATATCTTTTACTTCACATCTTCTAGACTCAAATTTGAGTTTCAAGAATTATCATTCTCTTTTTAAATTCATCTTCTGAATTGTTCAGATCCAGAAGGTCTTAAATCTCATTACATGCTACTATTCTATTTTGTTGAGATTAGCATCTGCTTCTTCTCACAGCCTGTAGCAAAGATCATTTACACACACACACACACACACACACACTCATACACATACACACACAAACTAGTACCATTCAAAAAATGTTAAATGGATCTTATTGCTTCTAGAATTATAAATTTTTAATCTAGAAAATGTACTGCTATAAATCGGCTCCATATAGTATTTCCAGTATTCAATCTTTATATATTCCTACATTTAAGATATATTTCATCCCCCATAATAGTATCTGCTTCACTCTCCATCAGTGACCTGTTCCTTAACTCTTTGCAGTCTTGACAGTTGTCCCCTCTCCCTGGCAAAACTGGTCTCAGGAGAATCACCAAAATCTGGTAGCAGCTAAATCTTCATCCTCATAACCTCTCTTCTCACTGCTCATTATTTCCTACTTTGAGAAACATTCCAAACAGAAGGTGCAAAGGCATTGTCATCTTTGGCTATTGGCAATATATATTCCACAGGCTGGACCTAAAGAAGATACTTCTTCAAAGTATTCTAACTAGAGTCATTAACTTAAGGAAAAACATAAATGACCATAGCTTAGAGACTACAGGGAAGATCATGCCTATTGCCTTCCTATTTTTTATCAATGCCAACTAAGATAAAACCTTAAGAATATTCTCACTTCCCTGTTTAAATTATTTAGTTTCTTATTATCCTTCTGAAAGGACTATTGTATAGTGCACAGCTTAACTTTAAATATGCAAATAAAACCTGCTTTGGCATTCTCTTGAGTGATTCATAAATGGTTTAAATGGTTTCCTTCACCCCTCTCCAAACCCTCAGATACAATTAACTTAGGATGGTTATTTAACACTATTAACTTCTGCTAAATCCTCTGGAGAGGTGAAATCATTATCTACTAGATACTGATCTCTGTACTTGTGAAGGCATTTCAAAGGAGCGATCACCTGAATCTACTGATCAATAGCCCAGCTGCATGATTTTTCCTGAGAGGCAGAGAAACAGAGAAAATGAAAAATCCACACAGACGACGGCTCCTATCTGCTGGCTCAATCCCCAAATGACCCCAAAATCCACAGCTGGACCAGGACTGAGGCCAGAGGCAAGAGCAAAAAAAAAATTAATCTTGGTCTTCCTTGTATGTGGCAGGAACCAGATTATCTGGACATGACCTCTGCCTCTAAGGGTCTGCATTAGCAGAAAGCTGCACTCAGGAGCAGGAGCACTGTAATGTGGATGTGGACATTTTAACCAGCATCTCAACCACTAAACCAAACACAACCTCAGCCACATAATTTTTTTAAGTAACAATTCACTTCTCCTTAGTTTATGATATATAAAATAATTAAAATTTTATTATTAATGATACCTCCTGTCTCAAATCATTTTAATATGTTAGTGGTTCTTCTCTGACCAAGTTCACTAGCTACACATGAGTTTTTTAATGTGCTAATAAATCTGCATTATGAAACTTTATAAGGGCATGTCTAACTATAAATATAATCTAATTATTTCCTAAGTCATATTTCTCTTAGTTCTGATCTCATATTGGCCTTCAAAACATTAATATTATAACACAGTTGTATTATATCCTCTAAAAATCAACATATCATATATTGGAAATCTAAGGGTCTGACTATTAGCACTATGAGTTATAAAATCATCTAAATTGATAATGTGGGACCAGTGCTGTAGTGTAGCAGGCAAAGCTGCCACCTGCAGTGCCAGCATCCCATATGGGCACCAGTTCTAGACCTGGCTGCTTCACTTCCAATCCAGCTCTCCAATATGGCCTGGGAAAGTAGTAAAAGATGGCTGAAGTCCTTGAGCCCCTGCATCCACGTGGGAGACCTGGAAGAAGCTTTTGGCTCCTGGCTTCGGATCTGCCCATTTCCTGCCATTGTAGCCAACTGGAGAGTGAACCAGCAGATGGAAAACCTCCCTCTTTCTCTGCCTCTCCTATCTCTGTGTGTACCTCTCTTAAATAAATAATAAAAATACATATTAAAAAATAAATTGATAATGTTCCCATTCTCTGACATAATTGCAATTAAGACAACTTCTTTATGTTCTTTCCTACTATAAATGCTGCTGTTTATTTGTTATTTTTTATTCATCATTTTCTCCAGTATAGAAATATCAAAAATTATAACATTAATTTGCCATTTCCCTAGAAATCTACAGTCTCTAAAAATTTTTGTATCTTTCCTGAAAAATAGCTGAAGAAGAATGTAAGAAAGATAATATGATTCATATTTTGCAGATTAGAGGACTCAGAGAAGTTAAATGATTCACCTGATTTTGCATAGTGAAATATCAAAACAAACCCAAGTCTTGCAATTACTTTTCAATGCAAGTGAGTGAAAAAAGGCCTTAAAAGATATCAAAATTTTATGAAGGGACTATGGGTGATTATCTTCTTTTCATTCAAGTTTTACTTATAAATTTTCTATTGGGCACATGCATTTCTCTTCAGGGAAAATATTAAAAGACAAGTTGGTTCCAGCTACCAAGTGTTCTTTATTACACTGTTCTGTAAATCACAGACAACCTAAAGTCAAGGATAATTTTCAGGGACATGAGGAAGTTTCTCTATCTCTCAGAGTATCTGAATTTCACGGGAAGTAAAATGGTCCCTTGGTGGCTTCACCTCATCTTTAGTTCCTCTACTGTCTCTTGACTTACTGCCATCCACTCTTACTCAGGTATCTTCTACCTTCCTACCACCCTCTGACTCTCTGAAGTCCTCTTCTGTATCATTTTTTCACAGATACAGTCTTCTCCAAGTTCTTAGCCCATAGAATTATCCTTTCTGGATCCTTTCCAATTAAACTGCTTACATATTGAGAAAGTTCAATATAAGGGGTTATAAGAAAAATCAGTACAGTTGCCTGATTTTATCTAAAACAGACTCATCAAATTTATATTTTAGTCACAGATATTCCTAACCATGCTGCTTCCCGACTATTCCAGGCTATTCCAGGCTACTACAACACTCCAATTCTCACATTGCCCTCCTTGCACACCAAGGAGGAAATCAGCAACTCAAATTCCAAAATATTGCCTGTACTTGATTTAGCTCCCTCTGGTAAAATTCACACATCAAAATCCAGTTTATAGTATTTCATCCTTCAATGTTGCTTAGATAAAGAAAAATGTCTAATCTTCTCTGAGCCCTAGGAATGACTCATGATCAATGAGGAAAATTTCATTAATATTGCTGCCAAGTAAATGCAATGAAAACCAAAACTCTCTTACCTGAGTTATTAGATGATAGAATCTAATCAATTCTTATCATATGGTGGATCAACCCCCCAAAATTTTGCCAGAAGATAAACAGCTTCAATCACATACAAACTAACATTTCTAAAAAGAAAGATAAGAATTCACTGGACAAATGCTGAAAGCAAAATGACAGAAGTTGAAACTGTTTATAAAACAGGAATTGAAAGCTTCAGAATTTATCTGCCATGAAAAACTAGATGAGAATGCAGAATAAGGTTACAGCAAAGAACAGAAAGGATGAAAATATTGTGCGGATCCATCCTCCCAGAATATCATCTTCTAGTCAAAATTCCACCCTGCTTTCTAGGGTGTTTAGTCTTTACTTCTCTCAAAAAAATCTCCCTTAGTATCATTAGCAAAATCCATAACCGCCTCATCTTCATACACTTCTTTCTCCATTCCTTGTCCAGAATACATATACAAAAACATGTCAAATAAGAATTAAACTGCAGATTATATTAAAAGGAGAAATAATTACTGAGAAAATGACTGGAGACATTAACTCTCCCAGGAGATGCTGGATGAATGTCCAGTCTGCTAAACTGTCAAACATTGCCTTTACATACATTTTACATGATAGCACTTGAATCACATGTGTTTTTCTAGAATCCAAGAAGCATCTCACATTCTGACAGAGATTGTAACTGCTTCCAAAACAAAGAGGCTGATGTTGTTTTTCTCAAGTAAATCAGATTCTAATTAGGAACCTTGGTACTGGTGACCAATGATACTACTGAGTCAGGGGAACAGCTTGTCCTTCCTTGATTAGATTTTTCCTGGGAACAATACCTCAGAGTCCCTCTGATTTTCACCCAGGGAATAAAAAGGACAAGGGAACAGAAGAAAGAAATGTATCTTTAAATTTAGCAATTTCGATTTTCTACATGCTTTGCAGCCCCACAAGGCTCAAACCATAGGACCACAGACTACAGAAATCTTATATCAGAAGGCACTGTCAAGTTAAAAGTGTGGGGCATAGCGGATTAAGCCACCTGCAACACCAGCATCCCATGTGAGTGCCAGTTTGAGTACTAGCTGCTCTACTTCCTATCCAACTCCCTGCTAGTGTGCTGGGAAGGCAAAGGAGGATTGCCCAACTCTTTGGACCCCTGCACCCACGTAGGAGACCTGGAGAAAGCTCCTGGCTCCTTGCTTCAGCCTGGCCATGCTTGGCTGTTGTGTCCATTTGGAGAGTAAACCAGAAAAATGGAAGGGATTCATTCTCTCTCTCTCTCCCTTTTTTTCTCTTCCCCTTTCTTTCTCTCTCTCTTCCCCCCTCCCTATAGTAGAATTATGTCAGAAAGTTTTTAAATAAGTAAATCTCCGTCACAAAAGCCTTCCTTCACCAATTTTATGGGCATTTTTTTTTTGACAGGCAGAGTTAGACAGTGAGAGAGAGACAGAGAGAAAGGTCTTCCTTTTTCCGTTGGTTCACTCCCCAAGTGGTGGTTAAGCATTGCACTGATCCGAAGCCAAGAGCCAGGTGCTTCCTCCTGGTCTCCCATGCTGGTGCAGGGCCCAAGCACTTGGGCTATCCTCCACTGCACTCCTGGGCCACAGCAGAGAGCTGGACTGGAAGAGGAGTAACCAAGAAAGAATCCGGCGCCCCAACCCGGGGTACCGGCACCACAGGCAGAGGATTAGCCTAGTGAGCCACGGCACCGGCCCCTTCACCAACTTTAATAAGAGGTCTTCACATTGGTATTTCTCTTTTTTTTTAACTTTTATTTAATGAATATAAATTTCCAAAGTACAGCTTATGGATTACAATGACTTCCCCCCCATAACGTCCCTCCAACCCGCAACCCTCCCCTTATCCACTCCCTCTCCCCTTCCATTCACATCAAGATTCATTTTCAATTCTCTTTATATACAGAAGATCAGTTTAGCATACATTAAGTAAAGATTTCAACAGTAAAAATATGGAACGCTTCACGAATTTGCGTGTCATCCTTGCGCAGGGGCCATGCTAATCTTCTCTGTATCGTTCCAATTTTAGTATATGTGCTGCCGAAGCGAGCACCACATTGGTATTTCATAATCATGACCTTTCCCGCTGAAGTGGAGCAGCCAGGAATTGAACTGGCACCCATATGGGATGCCAGCACTGCAAGCAGCAGCTTTACCCACTACATCACAGTGCCAGCCCCCGTAAAGTTAATTTTCTGTGCTTGTACTCCAAAGTTCCATTCTGTGACCTGAAATTCTTTGCAGCCACTCCATGCTATGATACAGACCAGAACTGTCAGTTCTTAAAGGTCACTATGCATGTCAGATATAAAAGAGTTTACAAGTTTTACCAAAATGTGAAATCAAAATACCCAAGATAATACAAACATCAAGATTTCATCACCTCTATACAAGAAATATGGAGAGAAAAGAAGTCCAACCCCCATACAGGAGGTGGTTCCTGAGAACAGGCACATCATCGATGCACATTAAAGAAAGGCTTTGTGAGGGAGACTCTGGAGGGAAGAGGAGGCTCAATGCCCAGAGACTAATTAGCAGGTGAGGAATAAAACAAAGGATAAGCCACTGAAATAGGAAAGGAAGGGACAAGTAAATGCAATATTGAAAAGAAGAGTAGGCTGGATTTTAGTGGATGGGAGCAGAATTTAGGTATATCTTCCAGAGTCCTATCTTGAAAAGACTGGATGGCACCCTCAATTTAGGGAAGAAATGCAGAAGAAACAGTTTCAAGGGAAAGCAATAAGTTACATAAAACTTATATGTGGACTTTCTCTTTCAGTTATGTCATTTGGAGTTCAACAGAGAATTCAGGACCAGTATTTGAAATTTGGAAGGATATTTCATGACATGCGATACTTAGGATAAAATATTTAACACTAAAGGCAAGAACAACAATAGTTGCTACCACAACAACAATAGTTGCTACCACAACCTTTTAGCTAAGAGTCAGTAGCAGATTTGCACAGGGGAAAGGGAATGCTTTGTCAGAAATATTAATTTCTGCTTTTTGCCTTATTCTTTTATTAACAATCTATTGCAGCCATCACAAGGATTGCTAGAACTCAGGAGTGGACCGACAGTTTCCTAACACATTGTATAACCCACCTTTAAATAACAGTATGTTCATGTGGCACATGCCTGCACAAGTTACATAACTCAGAGAGAATAGGAAGATAACTCTTTGAATACTTACTAACACTATTTATAAATATGATTTTTTAATTATTACATATATCATATGGATGGGTTAATATACAGTTTGGCACATGCTCATTCGGACTTACCCCTAATGGTAGAGCTAGAAATGTGCCAGGGGATTCCAATTCAATGCCATCTTACTTGTTAAAGTGACAAGTTTAAGTTCATAATTGATCAAAAAGTTAAGATTAAGTGTCAAAGGGATTACATAAATAAGGCCAGTGTCTGAAAATAATACTTGTTAGAATTAAATGGGAAGCAGGATACACAGCAGACTCATAGAATGGCAAAAGCCCTAAACAGCACTCTGGCATCAGAATCTGCCCTTAGGCATTCAGATCTGGCTGAAAAGCCCATGAGAGCATTTCAGGTATGGAAAGCCAAGACACTCTGGTGGAAAAAAAAAAAAATGACCTAAATGAAAGATCTCTGTGAGTGAGATCCCAGCGGAAAGAATAGGGTTATCAAAGAAGGAGGTACCTTTCTCTGAATGGAGGAGAGAACTTCCACTTTGATTATGGCCTTGTCTGAATAAGATCAGAGTTGGTGAAATCAAGAGGCTTCCATAGCCTTGGCAGCTCATGACAAGAGCCTAGGGTGATTACTGACATCATAAATAAGAGTGTCAATTGTTAAATCAACAACAGGAGTCACTGTGCACTTACTCCCCATGTAGGATCTCTGTCCTTAATGTGTTATACTGGTGTCCTAGGGCTTCCAAAGTGAGAGCCTGTCATGAGGACAACCATGTGCAGTACTGTTGCGGCGGTTGTGCCAGCGGATTAGCCCGGGTTTCGTGCATGAGTCACTCACTCACTCCTGCAGTTATCCTCAGTCCATCACATGTCACCTGCTGGCGGTCCTGGGGCCTTGAGCGCCCAAGCGTGTCTGCCCCAAGATCGGGAGAGGGCAATGGAGGTGCCGCCGCCGGCTCCGTGGAGCTTCCTTTACCGAACCCTGGGTCCATTTCCCCGAGTCTTTGCGGCTGAGAATGTGGCTGCCGATTCGGAAGCCCTGGCAGAGAATGGGAAGCTGCCTTCCTACGTCCCCGAACGCTATTACCCGGAACCGGATGGGACCGTCTCCGGGAGCTGTTGTTAAAGAGTAAAATGAACAGCAGAGGACGTCAAAGGAGCTTGAGAATATCTATAGGGCGGCAATTTCAGCAGGCATCATTGGCTGGGCTTATGGTAGAATACCAGCTTTTATTCATGCTAAAAAAATGCTACATTGAGCAGAGCCAGGCACAAATTTATCACAACCGGTTTGATGCTGTGCAAAGTGCTCACCCCGCTGCCACGCGAGGTTTCGTTCGGTACGGCTGGCGCTGGAGCTGGAGACCCGCGGTGTTCGTGACCATATTCAACACAGTGAACACTAGTCTAAATGTGTACCGAAATAAAAATGCCCTAAGCCATTTTGTCATTGCAGGGGGTAAGACATCTTTGTTCTTGCTCACATTTTTCAGTCCCACATGTGGTTTAGAAAATATGTAAGGATTTATAAATCGGAACTGCTGAATTCATTGATTGGCTTCCCAACCACTTCATTCAGTGTTCTTGAAAAGATACTTAAGAAAAAGCAAAAAAAGGGGAGGGTTGTTGGTGGGAGGGACGGTATGGGAGGGGAAGCCATTGTAACCCATGAGTCGTACTTTGGAAATTTATATTCATTAAATAAAAGATAAAAAAAATAAAAAAAAATGTGTTATACTATGCAAATTAACAGTAAAACTACTACCCAAACAGTACTTTATACTTTGCATGTCTGTGTGGGTGCAGTCTGTTGAAATCTTCACTTAGTATATATTAAGTTGACCTTCTCTATATAAAGATAATTGAAAATGAGTTGTGATGAAGAATGGGGTGGGAGAGGGAGTGGGAGATGGGATGGTTGCGAGTGGGAGGCAGGTTATGAGGGGTAAAAGCCGCTATAATTCAAAAGTTGTACTTTGGAAATTTATATTTATTAAATAAAAGTTAAAAAAAGAAAAATATAATTATTCTTTATAAATTTCTAACCCTTTCTGTATAGACAGTTTTTTAAAAAAGATTTATATATTTATTTGAAAGGCAAAGTTACACAGAGAGGGAGATGCAGAAGCAGGGGGAGAGAGAGAGAGAGAGATTTTCCACCCACTGGTTCAATCCCCAGATGACCCCAGTGGACAGGGCTGGGTGATGCTGAAGCCTGGAGCCAAGAGCTTCTTCTGGGTCTCCCATGTGGGTGGAGGGGCCCAAGCATTTGGGCCATCTTCCACTGCTTTCCCAGGCACATTAGAAGGAAGCTAGATCAGAAGTGGTGCAGTCAGGACTGGAACCAGTGCCCATATGGGATGTTGGCACTGCAGGCAGCAGCTTTACCTGCTACACCACAGTGCCGGCCCCTATAGACAGTTTTATAAAAGAATTTTAATTTCTACACCTTATACTTGTTTTTACTTAGGCATACATCTGGTTCACATGAAACATAAGACTTTGCATTTTTATTCATTTATTTGTAAATTAATGCCTTGCCTTTTTAACTCCATATAAAATTCCTGAGGCATCTCTATGATATACTCCAGTTTCATCTTCCACATCTAATAAAATCTCAAAACCTTAACTAGCTAGTACTAACTAAAACTCAGTGAGCAAATTCAGAAGATAAAAGTTTCAAATTCTCAAAGCTGCCTAGGTAATTATCTTCATTTTGTTTATTTCTCCACATATACAGACGCTGAGAAACTAAGAAGGCATGAATACAGGTACACAGGTGAATTAGAAGAGATATGTCTCAGAGACCCAGTGTCACAGAGAGTAGTGTCTAACATTTGACGTTAGACATTTGATAGGAAACATGACTAGTATACGAGATTACAGCCAACACCATCAACAAAGTCTGCAATACCAAAGACACAAATGATACTTCCAGGTCGCATTCACTCCTCAAGGTTACCAAGGGTTCCCTATGATGAATTCACCAGATCAGAAGAGACTTCACAGACAGATTTCACAGTGGACATTAAAACATTAGCTTAACTGAAAACATGCATGAACTGTTGTTAAAGGCATTAATTTCCAGAAGACTCAAGATGACACTGAATTTCTTGCAGCATGCGTGAAAGAACTCTTCCCAAAATACAAAGCCTTAACAAACAGTCTCTGCATAGCCACCTTCATCTTCTTATTTCTAAATGTATAAATGACAGGATTCATAAAAGGGGTGATAACAACATTAAATATAGCTAAAAATTTGTCTATGGGTAAGGTAGGGAATGGCCACACATACACAATAATGCAAGGTCCAAAGAAAAAAACCACAACAGTAACGTGAGCTGAGAGTGTGGAGAGGGCCTTGGAGCAACTACCTGAAGAGTGCTTACGAACCGTGACCAGGATGAAGATGTAAGACGCAATCAAGATGAAGAAGGTGCCCATGGAGATGAAACCACTGTTGGCAGTGACCAGAAACTCCAGCCTGTATGTGTCTGTGCATGCAAGTTTGATGAACCGAGGAAAATCACAATAAAAGC